GGAGTTAAGACCCAGGCGTGGCTGGGAGACGGAGCCTGCTTGCTTATTAATAATGGATGTGACTTTGCAGGATGGAGGCGAAGGTTACTCGCATGTTCAGATTAAGAGTTGGGCTGGGAAAGTCACACGGGTGTTGCAGCTCCTGGGCCGAGCTTCATTTTATCCCAGGGCAGGGTGAGAGGCCAGGAGGGAGAGGCTTAGGCTGGGAAGCCCCTCTGACAGGGGTCCCGGTGCCGCAACAAGGTGGGCTGGGGGAGAGGGGCTTTTCTCCCCTCTCTTCCGAGACTGGAACCCAACAGGCCCACAGGGAGGCTGAGTGGAGAAGCGGGATTAAAAGAGGATTAGGTCAGCTCAGGACGGAGAAAGTGGCCATCAGCTGGACGTCACGGCTGCGTATTTCCTCCAGCAGCAGCAGAGGCTGTAAAGTGGGGAGCAGGAGGGTCTTTTGCGCTTATGCCTCCCTTGCGGACACAATCCCGGTCAGCTAATTGGCATGGGGAGAACGGAAGGCCGGGCCTGACCTCGCCTTTCCTGGAAGCGCCAGGCTGCTGCAGGGCGTGGGCGCCCAAGAGGAGCAGTCCAGGCTTGGACCCCACGTGGGAAGGTAGAGCGCGAGAGCCTTTGGGGGGAGACAGCCGCGGCTCGCCGCTCGGGTCGGCCCCTGCTGCTCGAGAACGTCTGGGGGCTGTGGCCCGGGGCCCTGTTTCCCCTTCCCCTCACCGTGGCGCCCCCCGCCTCTCCTCCCGCAGTCCAGAAGGCTGGTGGTGCCTTTCAGCCCTCCTGGTGGAAAGTCTGTTCCCGTCCGCTCCCCTTTCAGGGTTTCTCGGGACGGGGGTCTTCGTACTGGACTTCCAGGGGTCAGGCCTCGGATGCCCAGGAACGGGTGTGACGGAGGAGCTTCTCCCTCTTCGCCCAGGTCCTTCTCTTCGAGCCATCTCTCGACGGCCTCCCTGGTGGTGGTGGACACCCCCGGCTTCCTCAGCCCCGGGCACAAGAAGAAAGAGCGGGCGGCCACCTTCGAGGAGCTCTGCCACAACTACGGGCAGGAGCGACTGCAAGGGCTCTTCTACAAGGCCGCCCTGGAGTCGGAAGTGGCAAGATACCAGGAGGCGGGGCCCCCCAGATCCTCCTGTGCCCAGCCTCTTGGCAGTGGGGGC